CGGATGAGATTTGGCCGAGTTATGGGGATGGTAAGTTTTGACCCATGTCTATATACGAATCTTGGGGTAAGATTTGGACATGAATTTCGACTAAAAAATCGGTGTCGAGATTTGAATGCCACATTAATCTAGAGGGCAAACCGTGAAGAAAACGCCAAACTTCATGAAAATCGGATGAGATTTGACCGAGTTATGGGGGTGGTAATTTTTGACCCATGTCTATATACGAATCTTGGGGTAAGTTTTGGACATGAATTTCGACCAAAAAATCGGTGTCGAGATTTGAATGCCACATTAATCTAGAGGGAAACCCATGAAGAAAACGCCAAACTTCATGAAAATCGGATGAGATTTGGCCGAGATATGGAGGTGGTAATTTTTGACCCATGTTTACATACGAATCTTGGGGTAAGATTTGGACATGAATTTCGACTAAATAATCGGTGTTCAGATTTGAATGCCAGATTAATCTAGAGGGTAAACCATGAAGAAAAATCCTATATCATATATATATATTCTATTTTAGAAGCTATATGCCAAGTTTGGTGACTCTAGCTCTTATTATTTAACAAAATTGCCCAAAAAACAGGATATCGATATCGATTTTTATCGATTGCTTGGAAACGGAGTAAGTTATCGATTATCGGAAACAAACTCGATCTGCGCGGGAGCTAGGAGCATCTACATCTAAAGTATCTAGCTCTTATAGGTTCTGAGATCCTTGCGTTCATACATACGGACGGACGGACGGACAGACAGACGGACATGGCTAGATCGACTCAGCTATTTATGCTGATCAAGAATATATATACTTTATGGGGTCGGAGTTGCTTCCTTCTGCCTGTTACATACGTTTGGCATTCGCACAAATACAATATACCCTTATACCCATTTTTAATGGGTTCAGGGTATAAAAAAAACAGTCAAAGCAAAGAAAAATGAGTTTTGAAAGTAGAATGAACTAGTTCAAGAAACCAGCACGAAAGCAATAAAAGAACTGGTTTTTATTAATCATTTGATTGATTGAGACAATAAAACTTATCAATCTTAAAAAACATGCCACAAATTTCAAAGATCTAGTTTGGGTTGTTTAAATTTACGATATCAAGTAAGACCAGGCTATATAAAATCAATTATGTGACATATACATAAAGCTCAATTGTTGGAATCATAGATTGCATAGTTATACATTTAATGGAAACTATTGGCCCAATCGAGCCTACATTACAAAATATACTTACAGCAAAAGAGTCTATGTACACTTAAATTAAAATAAATTGTATTGCGATAAAACAACTTAAATAAACCTGAAGCAGGTCCAAATATGAGAAGTCAAAAAGGTTAGAGATAAACGCGAATTGTGTAGAAAAGTAAAGCTTTAAGCGTTAAGTGCGCTAAAAACAAGAAGAGTTTTATAATAATGTAGACTAATATAGCTTTAAGCTTTAAGTGTATGAAATTGTACAGACAGGTAGAGCTGTTACTTCATATATTTATAAAAACAAGTCGAGCTTTAAGCTTCAAGTGCGTGAATTTGTATAGACAAGCAGAGCTTTAAGTGAATTAAATTGTATTTCTAAAGCCTTAAGCTTTAAGAGAAGTGCATGAACTTTAAGTACAGTCACAAAATTTTGTTTTGTTCCATGCAGGAACTGTTTTAATTTATATATTTTATGAGCGATAAAGGCTATAATTAGTTAAATTAAGTTTATAAAACCAAGATCTTCAACAATTTGTCACATTTACAGCTGTTGGTCTGTGATTTGGTTATGGTAACACACCCTTTTTTCGCTCAGTGTAATCATTGCTAGTTTGTTTTATTTGAATTTTTCTGTTTTTTTGGAGCTGTTGCAATTGCAGCTAAAATTACTTCTTTAATTCGTTGTCACTTGGCAGCCGCGAGGCAGCTGACTGACAATCTAACTGCCCCTCGGGCCGACTGACTGACATCTATTACCACATTTACACACACACACACACACTAGCTCACGAATGGCAAGTGAGTGGATTCAAGTGCATATTTTAGTTAATTTGAATTGCAGTCGCACAGTTCAATTATGCGGCCGGAAAAAAGGTTGAGTTTTAGTTTTGTGTACCTTAAACCTTTGGCAAATGAGCAAAGGGTAGATTGATTTTGTGCAGTGTAGTTAGTGAAGAAGTAAAACTGCAATTTTAAAGGACTTTTAGTTTTGAAGTCTGCATAAGACTTATAAATATATATGTGCTTCATCACAATTTGCCGTTAAAGTGACGTATTGAAGAAGGCTTAAAGGACTTCTTATATTGAAGGCCTCATAGCTTGATCTAGAATATATATTTCCAGATTTCAAGTCTCTCTTGAAGAAGCCTTTTTTGACGAGCTTACACGAATGGACTCAATGAGAAGTCGTCGATCTCAGCAGCCTTAAGAGGGAATTAAAATCCTCATATGTAGCACAAGTTTATTAGTTTCTCTTTCTTTCAATATCTCTTTCCACATTCAAAGCATAGATAAACATCTATTTTAAGACATGGTTTTTAATCATTGGTCGATGACTATAATGAGAACTACATACATAAGACTAAGTACATGTATATAGGCTCTTGTATGGTATATTTCGATAAAGAACATTTAATTTTTTTGAATTCCTAACTACAACCTAACCCGATCTTAACGAACACAAAGCAAAGGGAGGAAGAAGCACAAAGGGCGGAAGAAGCGTAGAACAAGCTTGAAATACTTTTAACAACGTGGCCTGTCGCTGTGCACAGAGTATCTCCAAGTCGGGCACTGCCTACTTAAGCACTCTTACTTGTAGTGTATATCGTTTTTTTTTATATATATATTTTTTTTTTTTAATTTAAGCCCACAAGAAGTGGCTTCGCTTTGGCTGCGCTGCGGATTGGCTGCAATTTAGTTGCAGGAATTAAATTAAATTCAATTACAATGTGCACAACAATATCGTGTGTGTATCTGTGTGTGTGTGTGCTGAGTGCTACTTCATTATGTGCATTTAACATAAATATTTTCAATTATTATGCGATTTAAAGTGCACTTGAGTACATGCACTTTTGGGGCGCACTGTTCTGCTGCCAGCTGAATGAATGCATTTTATTTGAAGTTGAATTTGTTGTCTCTTTTATTTTTTCGCTTTTGCCAGTTTCTTTTTTTTTTTTTTTTTTTTTTTTTGGAAATCTCGTGCATCTGTTGTCGCAATTTTGCCAGAAAATTGGTTGACCCAGTTTTTTTTGGTAGTTGGGAAAGAGAGAGGCAGCGAGAGAGAAAGAGAGGGAGTGAGAGCAAAGTGGAAGAATGTATCTGATGCTCGTTTAGCAGCTGGCTCCAAAAAGTAAAATAACTTCAGATTGGCACCAAAAACTGCAACAAGCTGTTGCCAGCTATCTGGAGCAGTTACACTGTGCTGCATGAGTGCTGGCTTTTGGGGCATGCGGCAAAGGGAGGCAGCCACGAATCCAAGAATCAAGAAATTCTTGAAATGTTTAACCAAGGCTTCGATAAACGCAGTGCAAGTCTCATGAGCGAGTTATGGATTTGAGTTGTTGCATGAATCAAATTAGAAAGAAAGCTACTAAACTTTAAGTTAAGCCGATTAAAGCTTCTTCAAAGCAGATGCAGCAAGTGAAGCTAATTCAAGGAAATCTCGTGCTCTTGAAAAAGAAAAAGTTTCTACTGAGAGCAGCCAGTAAAACGATTACGAATGACGCAACAAAGGAATCGTTTCCTATCAACAGAGAGACAAAGAGATAAATAAAAATGGAGAGAAAGAGAGAGAGAGAGAGAGAGAGAGAGGTAGACAGAAGGAGACAGAAAGAGACAGAGTATGACAGATTATGTACAGAGAGAGAGTATGACAGTGAGATAGTAAGAGTGCATAAACTATGATGTCTAAATCGTTTACGAACACAACACAAAGAAGAATTGCAAATTATATGTATTCATGCATGTTTTTGTGTACTTATGCTTTTTATTTAAGCCTAGTTTAAGCACGTCACAATATTCCCTTTCCTAGAAGAGCTTGTAATCAAATATGGAATTGGTTGTTGGCAGCCACTTCTCAGCTTGCAGCTTGTGGCCTGTTTTTAATTTTTGTGGCCTTTATGATGCAGCTGGCAGCAATGGTATAAAACACAAGACACACTCACTGCCATAAGTATATACCTTAATATATATGTATATATATGTACAGATATAATCCCCCCAGCGGCGACAAAATGCAGCCGCTGCAGTTTAATTCAGAAACCTGCTCCTTACGCAGAGTTCTTAGCTTCACTTTTTATACTCAGTAAATCAAAAGCGAAGAAAGAGCATATTGTTGAGATACTAGCTGCTAGTTTCTGTAAACTTGGTCTAAATGCTTAACTCCACAACAGTTTGTGTTGTAAAGTCAAGTTCACTTATGAAATGAAGAAATAGCAAGAAATTTGGGTCGTCTTGTCGACCATTAATAAATAAATAAATAAATAAACAAAAAATAGGTTAATAAAACAATAAATATTACATTAGAATTGAAGTATTCAAGTGCAGATCGACACTTTGTAGGTTTTTATTTTTTGCAGGGTAGCGCGCAGTTCATCATCTTTAACCATTCCGACTTGTTTCTCTTTTATATGTTTATACAACTTTTTTTTTATTTTGATTTTTTGCATGCAGCTTTGCTGTTATTCTTAAGCTCTGGCTGAGGTGTGTATGTTGTGTTTGTGTGTGTGTGTATGTTGTGTGTGTTTGTGTGTGTGTGTGTCCCAAATTTTGTAGGTGAAATTATACGCACACTTCAGTTTTTGGCCTGTTTATTTTTTGGTGCATTTTTTTCCTCTTTTAGAGAGCTGCCTGAAACTGGACTTTGGGTTCTAACTGGAGGGAGCAAAAGCGCGCTCTCCCTCCACTCTCCTACCCTCCCCGTCCCCCCTACCCCTTACCACTCCACCACTCCCCCTGTCCATCTCTATGGCTGTCTGTGTTGGTTGCACAAAAAATTGGGTCAAAAAGCAGATGTACTCACCTTTGGGCATCAGCTAAAATGCAAGTTTTGGCCAGTTTCGATGCAGACAGATTTTCCGCGCTCGGCAATATCGTTTGTGAGTTGTGCGTAAAATCCGTGGATATTGTGGAGGAGTTTGAGCTGGACGAGCTGCCTGATGATGAGCCGCTGCAAATTGTACTAGTTGCTGCTGCTGTCGGTGCAGCTGCAACAGTTGCTGTTGCTGCTGCTGTTGTTGCTGCTGCAATTGGCTGCACATCGATTTGCAGGCGACAATCGGCGACTATTTTGGCCAGATTACGTCGACTGTCAACCAACGGTACCTGTTCCTCCATGTGACAGCAGTCCCCGCCCCCGCCCCCGCCCCCGCCGACGCCGCCGCCCGTTGCCGTTTCGCTGTCCGAGTCCGCGTTGGCGGCAACGTTTTGGGCCAACAAATTCATTGGCATTTTTTCGTAATGCGTATGGGCCAACACTTCACACTTGGCCAGCGCCTGCGTCGGAGTCTGTGTCTCGATCGGAGCCTGCGCCTTTGGCTTCTGCTTGGCTTTCAATTCTTCAGCTGCTTGTGGAATTTTTTGAATTTTTGTTTTGTTGCCGACAATGCTGCGCAGCAGGCTGTTGTTGTTGTTGTTGCTGATGTTGCTGATGTTGTTGTTGTTGTTGTTGTTGAGGCTGGCGGCAACAACTGCAACTGTTTCCGGTTTAGTCGACAGCAAACGCGGCGTTGTTGCTGCTGCTGACGTTTTAGTATTAACTGCTGCTGCCAGTTGTTGTTGTTGCTGTTGTTGTTGTTGTTGCTGTTGTGCTGCTGCTGTTGTTGCTGTCGCAGCTATGGGCAATGTTGCTGCCGCTGCTGCTGCCGATTTTAATGACTCCTCAACAACTTGTTCAGCTGCTGCTGTTGTTGTTGCTGTTGCTGTTGTTGCTGCTGCCGATGTTGCTGTTGTTGTATTTATAATTGCCGGCTGCTGTTGCTGCTGCTGCTGCTGTTGCTGCTGCGTGGCGAGAGCGACTCCACCTTCTGGTATAATTGTTGCAAAAATTTGTTCGCCAAATATGAAAAGATCCTTGGAAATAATCATTATCACCTTTTTGTGATGTTGTTGTTATTTAGTTTTTTTTTTTTATGGCTTATATTTCTGCTTTATTTAGTTAATGTAAAACGTTGCTTTATATGAAGAAAAACAAAATAAACACGTTTTACACAAGCAACATATATTTTATTTTTTTGCCGGAATTATTTATCTTTTTTCGAATTATTTTGGGGGAATTTTGCGCACATTTCATAATTTGCGTGCTGTAAGAAACGAGTTGAAAGATAATAAAAATTGATTAAGAAAATTTCACAGTGAAGAGGCAATTGTATTTAAAAAAATAATATTTAATAAACATAAATATGATTATAAATAAAAATATAGAAATAATATGTATGCATCTGGTAAAGACAATATCTATAAACTCGCAATACGTTAAAATCATTTAAGTATATTATTTTTCTTTTATCTTTTATATATAACTATTATTATAATATTTATTAATTATTATATTATTTTTGCATTTAACACGAAGAAGTTAACTTTTTCTCTGTGAAATTTCGCTGTCTCTTAAATATTCTGAGAATTCTTTTATACATTTCTTTCCCCGAATTAGGTCGTAATTTTCTTTTTATTTTATATTTAATTATTCAAATGTTTAAGAACGGCAAAGATATTTTAATTGTTTATTGTTAATTGTTAAATTCGAAAGTGAAATATATTTTTAATATTTTTATTGTACTTTCAAGTTTTACTTCTCTCTTTAGATCCACAATTTTTCCATTTAGTCATTATCTTAAAATAATATAATATTAAATATAATAATATTTACATATTATACACAAGCTGTACTTAAATTATTTTAACGCATGCATATCAAGAAATCTCTTAAATTGATTTAAGTTTCTATTTTTTTATATATTGAAAGTGCATTTTTTTATTTGAAAATTTTAATTTTTATTATATATTTCTTATTTAAAAGATTAATATTTAAAACTTGACTTGTATTTAAAATTTGTTGCAAAAGCATTTTATTTTTTCAGTTTCAAACACAAACACTTGACAAATGGCGAAAGTCTTAGAAAATCGATTTCGAAAGTTAAAACTTCCCGAAAATTTGCAATAGTTACACGACTTTTATTTCCAACTTCATAAACTTAAGAAATTGTTTAAAATACTTTTGTTTTAAAATAACTTTTATCTATATAAATCATATATTATTTCTGACAAATGCACAGACATTTTTTTTCGAGTACTCAAACAAAATAAATCACTTAACATTTTATTTATTTTGGGTTTATTGATTTTTGATTTTATTAAGTAATATTATAAAAAATTTTCTGTGCTAATTATTTATATTTTATACATATATAATATATATTTATATTTAAATACATTTTATTAATTTGCCTCGGATTTAAAAATGTATTTTAAATTTATCAAGATCTTTTTTTACTGTATTTACTTTTACTGTGGGATTTGTTAGTTAATTTCCGCAAACAATTTTTCGCACTTGAGACTCGCCTAACAAAATAATACAAAAATAAGAAACGACTCTTTTTATTGGAGTGTAAAAAGTAACCAAAACAAATGTCTATAGAATTGTGTGTTCTTTGTTCACAATTGTTGCTGTATTTATTTTTAGCACTCGCAATAATCAGGCAAAAACTTCTGTCGAAATACGCAGCACGGCCAAATAAAACAAATGAAATGAAATGCAATTTTTTTGTTATTTTGCTGTCTAAGCCGCGTCTAGCAAAGAGTGCGAAAGAGAGCGCTGCAAGAGAGGGCCAGCTGCAGTCGGCGTCTCGGGCCTTACTTCAGTTACAATTTGTCAATAAGCCCGCGCGAAACAAAGCGCCAGAGCAAAATGTCAGTTTACATTGCTTGAAGCTGTGTGCGTGTGTGTGTGCGTATGTGTGCGTGTGTGTATAGAATAAAATGTAAACATAGCAAAAACAACAAGCGAGCAGAGCAAAGAGTAGAGAAAAAAAAAACACGCACCCAAAGCAGCGAAACGGCAAATTGACGCTAAATCTCGTTCGTTGTAGAACTGCAGCAGGGCGAGCTGTGGGGTTGCGGGGGCACAGGCAACAGGTAGAGCGTTATTAAAAATTTCGTATTTAAAAATCAGCTGCGCTTCACGCACACACACACACGCGCGCACACACAACAAGCACGTTGCGAGAGGACTTTTTTTCTCAATTTTTTCTTTTCTCTTTATTTACTTGATGCATTTGTTTGATTTTGAAACATTTTGAGCAGAAAACACTCACTTAGCCCCACACGGCACTGGAACACAGAACATGAGAAACCGAAAACGAAACGAAACGTAACGAAAAGATGTAAAATGACTTCTTTTTTTTTCTTTTTGTTTAGTGCATGTTGTTGTTGCTACTGCGACGGCGATCGACTAACTGAATTGAAAGCTGAACGGCAACGACGACGACTACGACGACGACAACGAGCAACGCGACGCGCATTACGTACAACCAACGGCGGCCGATTTCGATCTCGTACTGATCACCGTTAAACGCTGTTTCGACTGCGGTGGCTGCTGCTGCTAGTGCTGCTGCTGCTAAGCGACGCAGTCGGCGTTTGGGAGAGCGCGCGCCCGTGCATGAATGACAATTTTAACAGCACATTCTCTCTGTCTCTCCACAGACAGCGCTGCGGCGCCTTTAGTTAGCCACTGCACGTGCGTGTGGATTTTATGCTCTCTCTTTGCTGTAAGCTTACAAGCGGCTTAAGAGCAAGGCTCGTCGCTTAACCGCATACAATGTAATGTGACGTCTGTTAGGCGCGCTCTGTAATCAGTCATTGATAGTGAACCGTGGAGCTCGTAAACTCTTAACCGATAAAAGCAACAAAAGCTTTTATGAGGCTTAACGAAGAAAAATAAAAAAACAACAAAATTAACTGTCTAGCAGCTGGTACAAAAAAGTTGACTTGGTGATAGAAATTTGCTTAAGATTACACTGAGCGTCAAAATGTTGATCAAGCTACGGCGAGCGTTTGTCTATGTTAGCAGAATGTTATGTACATGGGGCTGTGGGGACAAAGCTCTTAATTTATTATTTTACTGTTTAATATTTAAATTAGTTATGTATGTATGTTTGACAGGTTTGTTGTTTGACATGTTTCAAGTTTGGTTACGTTTTGATTTTAACTATAACATTTCCGGCAGGCGCTGCCAAATTCCAGTAGTTATTAAAGAATTATAATAAAATATACGCGTATTTAACCAAATACGTTCTCCTAAAAAAAAAATGAAATAAAGACAAAACAGGCCAGAAATATTTGTGCGTGTGTTAAGCTTTGTTCGCACTGCGGCTGTTAAAGCTTATCAGTCATTAAACTTGACAATAGAGCAACAACAACAACAACAGCAGCGGCAAAGAGAGCGCAACGTATACGCAATGTGTGTGCGTGCACCGTTATACCAGGAAGAGGCATAGTCTGAAAACAACAAAATACACTAGACGCCTATAAAATGTGTCAGCTGTTTTGAAGCTTTCAGTGCGTGAAAGCCCATAAAAATAATGTAAAAAAAAAAAATGGCGAACATGCGGCCACTAGATAAAGCCAGAGGCCTATAACAGATCTGCGATAATCATGATGATTTTTAGTTTGACGATAAATTAGGCGAAAGAAGTGCGCTATTAATTTTATGGCATGTGCCATAAACATTTGCCATACGCACATATTTGTCCACCCTACTCGTTCTAATGTTGTTGTTGGTTGTTCTCTTTTATGCGTACTGTGCAAATGCGCGACGCTGCCAACAAGCTACCAATACATGCGCACACGCACTGACGCACACGCACACACACTCAGCGAAACCACACGCACTTGCTCTTAACCTTGAAATTTCAACGCACGCAGCTTTTGGCTGGGCTTGCTTGTGTGTGCGTGTGCGTGTATTTGTATTTGTCGTTCAGCTATTTTTTTTTTTTGGCTGCGCTGATAACATTTTGTTTTTGCTTTCTTTTCTTTCTTTTTTTTTTGTGCGTTCGTTGCTCTGCACACACACACACACACAAACGCACACACGCACAGCCCATTTTTGTTGTTTATTTGCGCACTTTATTGGATTTTCAATAGTTTTATTATGCGAATATCTTGCAAATTGTCTTGCTAAAAATTTGTTTTTTATGATTTCCAAAATTTCGTCCATGCTTTCCTGCTTGCTTGCGAAATGACTTTTCGTCCCATCTGCGCACTTATTTTTTTTTTTATTATTATTTCGCCGTTTAATGAACTCTTATCAGGCAGCCTGGTACGGAGAGCGCACACGTAGCAAAGCCCTGACTCAGACACGATTCTGTTATACGGAGGGGCACTTTCTTTGACCAAAGTTGCTGCCGTTAATTGACACAAAGAGTTTTGGGCAGATTGTGTGCGGGACCTTGAACTTAACCCATATTTTGGCGCGAAATTGAGGTCATGAAACTAACGCTAGAAACTGAAGTCAGAGTTCATTTTGATATAAACTAAAGATAAGCTGCGATATTTTCCGCAAATTTGTTAACATTTCTTTGCGTTTCGATTTTTAAGCACATGTCTAAATGAAATCTTTTTGGCGGCCGCCTAAAAGTATGCTGCGATTTTTTGGCGGAAACGAAAAGTTATTTTTGACGATTCAACCGGAAACCAAAACAACTTATTTTCAACTATTTGTTATTGAATTGAATAAAATATTTTTATTTTTTTTTCGCCCAGATACAATAAGAATATGTAAACAAGATTGGGAGAAAAACGGGAACATACGAAAAAATTTTAAAAATTTGTTGTTTCTACAAAATGTGAAGGTAAATTTTAAATTATTAAACAATAAAATATATATAAATTTGCCAAAAAAAGAAAAAAAAAATTATAACAAAATAAATGTAAATATGATCAAAAATATGAATTTGAAAATATAAGTCTAGGTTAAAAAGCCAGGAACTATATACAACATATTGTAGACTTATTGTAAGATATAGATAATATTTAATAGATCATAAATAATTTATTTTATATACTATATTGTGTAAATAAAACTAATAGTGTATAGATCATATATAATGAACATTTTCTAATCTTTGCCATCTTTTAAAACTGATTTCATGGTTACACTTTATACCTTTGCTTTTGTTGCTAGTTTGGCTTTTGTCGGAGCTTTGCGAGAGGCAGCACAACACATTCACTTGACTCTCATTTCATACAAACAGCAAACGCTTAAACTTTTTACATTATTTCCATTATTTTATTACATTTGAAAGAGAGAAACCCGACGAGAAATGGAGGAACCCGTTGTATCCATATATGACATGTTGATGAAGCGCCATCGACAGCAGCGCAAAGAAGAATGCCAACAGCAAAGGGATCTCTTGCAGAACAGGCGCCCCACTCAGGATGTGCAGACGAAGCCAAGCGTGGACAGCAGCATTGAGCCGAAGAAGCCACGAGCACGCATCAGTCGCACCAGGTTCTCGGTGGACCCCATGCAGCCCGGGGTTAAGATGCCCGCTAGTGTGGTGACCTCCACGCATTTAACCAAGAAGAAATCGAACATTCCGCCGCCGTCGCACGCCAAAAAGGAGACGCTCAATCAGCTGGTGGAGAAGATGAGCGGCTTCAGCCGGAAGCGGCTCAAGAATGCTTCAGCGGAACCGGTGCTGGAGAAGTCGGCCGCGGAGCACACCACTCGCAGTCGGGATGGTTCGGGCAAGAAGAGAACGGGCATGCGGAACAAGCCGAAGGTTAACAAGACGCCGCCTGGCAGCGAGTCGATCAATCTGCGTCCGCGATTGGCCTTGTCGCCGCGCAACACAAATCGCTTGGCCAACAAGCCGGCCGTTAAGCGCGAGAAGGCCAAAAGCAATCCCAACGAGCCGAAGGTCCAGCGTCGCGCCAAGAACTCGGAGGCTGTGCGGCCCAAGGCACGCTTGCGGATGCACATGTCCAAGCTGTCCATCAAGTCGGCCAACAAGGAGCGCAAGATCCCGCCGCCAGCTGACAATGCAGTGCATTATCGCCTCTGAAAGGCGATAGTTATATCGATTTTTATCGATTTCAGTCTACAAATTGCAAGTGTTGTGCGCAAAACCGTTTACTCAAGTTCGTTTGCCCTTTTGAAGCGCTTCCATTTGCCAATCAATAGAGTCCATTGCAGTTCCCCTCAAACTGCGGACCCTATTGGTTAACATCTGAACAAGCGTTTTGAAAAGTTTTCATTTTGGCTTAAACAACAAAGAAAAAAATGTCAGTAACCACAGATGATTATTAAATTGGAATAACAGTTGCCCGCACTATGGATTTTATTTTCATTAATTGAACGGCTTTCTTTATGTGAACACGACAGTTTGACATTAATAGGCTAGCAAAAGTTATCGATAACATACTCTCTAGCACAGTTATCGATTACAAGTTATGAATTTCGACTTTTTCTTCAGACCAAAACTAGAAAAGTTTGAAAACTCTATATTAATCAAATGAATTATCGATAACAATTGAGTATCCATTAATGTCCACTGGGATCTGTCCAATTATCATAGCAAACTTTCTAGCAGAGATATCGATAACATCGATATATATCGACTGCGAGCTATTTAGTTATCGTAGCATACTTTCTATCACAGTTATCGATAACAATTAAGAATTCGGCTGTGATCTATCTAGTTATCGTAGCATACTTTCTAGCACAGTTATCGATAACAATTGAGAAGTCGACAGTTATCCATCCAATTATCATAGCATACTTTCTAACAAAGTTATCGATAACAATTATTGAGTATCAACTAGAGAGGAATCGACTGCGATCTATCTAGTTATCTAGTACAGTTATCGATAACAATTGACTTATTGATTATTGTTTGATTGCCCCAGATTTAATTTTTCCTTTCAATCAAAACTAGTATTATTAAATAGTATTAATTATTGCACATATACCAAAAATCCAGGCTCTACTTTAAATTTAAATGAACTCTCTAAATAAATTATGCAAAATATTTTTATCTTAGATAAGTAAATCAATACTTTATAAATAATCATTGTAGTTTATTTATTTTTCATTTTATAATAAATTAAAATTTTGTTTAAGACAGCAGCTTAACATTATGTTCTCTTTTAACCAATTCGCAACGGCCTAAATTTAACGTCTAGTTTTTTTTTTTGTTTTTTTTTTTTTATTTTTGAATTGTTTATTTTATGTGTAGAGTTCGGCCAACATTTGATGTATTAGCACTTCATATTTTTCATTTCATTTCTATTAATTTTCACATTGAATTCGCACAAAATGACGGCGACAAGTTTCGACATTCAAATGCAAACTAAGAATACTTGGATCTATATGTAGTACTCATATATATAGTGTATATATAATAAGCCATTGGGTTTTCCACGATATTATCAATAATGCTTTGCATTTATTCAAGTTTTTGAAGTTTTATTTTTTAATTATTTCTGCTTCGACTGTAAAACGGGGCGCCAAAATCGAGTTAAAGAGTTCTTACAAAAGAAACAAACGGAAAAATTGCAGAAAAATTTAGAAAAAGATTTCCATAGATTGGTTTTTTTTACAAAAATATTGTACATAAATATTTTTGCATTGTTTCAAGTTTCGTTTTCTTAACGAGGTATAATTTATATCAAAATTACAAAAAATGTAGATTTATTTTTCTATTCGGGTTTCTTGCAAAATGTTTGCGCGCAAAATTTGTTGTTTCACATTGAATTGCTGTTGAAATGAATTTTCTAAAACAAAAATTCAAGGCGCTTACCCATAAATTTTTATCTTTGTTGCTGGCATGTATGTGTGTGTGAGTGTGTGTGTGTGTGTGTGTGTGTGTGTGTGTGAGTGTGAAATACTTTGAGAATTTGTTCTAAGGCTCAAAAGCCCAAAACAACACGACATTAACATAAATGCAGCTTGTAAAACAAATTTATGAATTAAGACTAAAATTAGAATATAAAATGTAAATTCATTATATATAAATACATAGATTAACTGAAAGGCGCAACTAAAAGCCTTACTACTTATAGCCAAATTGAAAAAAAAAACTTACCAATATAACACAAAGTTTTCTCGCTAGTTTTGTGACTACATTTTGAAATTCAATTTCAATTATTTGGTGGCTGTGTGTTCGGAATTAACAAAAGGAACTAACTATTGTTGTGTTTATATCTTTTGTTGTTGTTGTTGTTGTTGCTGTATTTGTTGGAGGGGGGTGCGGGGTTTTTGGCTTGTGAGTTGTGGGTTCTTGTGCTGAAAGGGCTGCCTAGGGTATCATGACTTCAGCCAAAGTCTTTTCAGTCTGAAATAAAAGCAAAACAAAATCAATTTGTTAGATAAATCATAAAGTAAATTAACAAATAATTATAGTTGGCATTTAAAGCGCAGAAAACTATTTTTTTTGCATTAAAGTAAAGCTTAAAAAGCGCAAAAATTAGCATAGAAATAAATAAAGAAATAATTAAGAAATGTGTTAATATACAAAATTTAAGCTAAATTAAATTATATGCAAGATTACTAAAAACAAATATTTGTCAAATATAATGTAAAATATTAATAATATTAAACAAATAAATTATGCTACTATAAATATTACTATATAATTCAAATAATTAACGATACGAACCAAATACGTAATAAATGAAATAATAAACATTAATAAAAATAAACCAATAATAAAAAGCTACTTATAAATATTTTACACATTTATAAATCTTTGAAAAAATAACGTAATAAATAAATCAACTTAAACGTGCTTGAGCTTTCCTGACAGTCTGTAAAAATATTTTTGACGGAATTCAAATGTACTAAAATGTTCTCTAAATATGTGTTTTACAATAGCGTTGCGAGTATTTAGTGTAAGCTTTAAATAAACATTGACTAGTCTTAATATCTTAAACTACTTAGCGGCACATGTAACTAGATAGCCGTAGGGGAGACGGGGGAGGCTTTGCTGGCTCGTACTACAATATAAAACCTAAAACTAAGGAACATGCAACAATTTCTTTGGTTTGCTTTTGTTTTTGCTAAGCTGTTTTGCTTGTTAGCCGCGAGAGATCATATAATGAATATGAATTACATTTAATTTTGCATTTTGCATTTTGCTTGGCCTGGGCCTATTTGTTGTTGTGCTGCTTAAAATTCCGTATGCATAGACTCAATGCTCTGACGCAGCTCTGCATCGTTGTAGAACTTTTCGCAAACGATGCTCACCTTTTTCAGCAGCTCAATGGCCGTTTGGAGCACCTGATGCCATTTGCGTAGCTCAGATTCGTGCGACAGCTCCTGCTGGCGCAACAATTCCAGCCAATCTTGATTCGTATTGGGTAGTTCTCTGCAAAACGAATAAATTATATACTTTTCGATTTGGTTTTATAATGCTTCGCACTCACTTGAGGGCTGCCAAACTGGGCAAGCGGGCGCGCCGGCTGAGATCGACGTCAATGTGTTCCTCCAGCTTCCAGAGCTTAAGTAATAATATCACATTTAATGCCAGCAGCAAGCACATTAACAATATAACGAACAGCGACAGGCCTCTGTGTCTGAATCTGTCCTGGCCCTGGCCCAGCTGATGGCCGCCCGCCAGCAACTGTTGCTGCTGCTGCTGCGCGGCCAGCAACAGCTGCTGCTGTCGACTGCCGGCCCCGCCGCCGCCACCAGCAGCGCCATGTGCCAGTAGGCCAGCCGCAGTGCCAGCGCCAACGCCGCCAGCGGACAACATTTTTGTCTCCCAATTGTCTAGCGATTCGGCCAGGCCACTCTGTGCGGCGCCGCCGGCTGCTTCCTCCATGGGGCGCGCTTGGGTGGAGGTACCTGCAAATCGCACCAGCCCAACAAATGGCAAAAAATGAACAATTATTAAACAACAAAAAAAAACAATTGAATAACAAAATTGGGTTATATCTGCGGCTACAGCAACAAAAACACAACATTCGAATGCAACAAATAAATTGGACACAAGTGTTAACATGCAAATGGACTAAGGATCAAAAATATAAAAATAATAATCAATGGCAGCATCTCAAGCAATACGATGCACAAAGCGATTGCCACAGCCAAGTTTTGCAAAATATTGAAAACAAATGGAACATTGGATATGCCAAGCTAAGAAGAGCTATATATATGCAACTATTTCTTTCGGCTGACGGACTTGTTTGTGAATTGAAACTCCCTTTTTGAGAAAAACAGAAGGTGTCTGCCAAGCTCAAACATTCATTAATTAAACCTCGTGCTTTACTCAATTATTAAAATAGTTCTAACTTTTATCACTTTTCACTTCTTAAGCTTTAGCTATTAATCGAAGGCTAACAAATCTCTGGCTCTTCTTGCATTGTTCACAACGTAATTAGCTGATGACAATCGCTTTTGCTTTTAGGGGTTGCTTAGCGCCATAGATACGCTATATACCTTGACATGTGTGCAATTTGGCCTTACGAGATGTTGGCAAATTTGTTGCTGCGGATGTGTTTGCAAATGTTGCTGATGCGGCGGCGGCAACTGTTGCTGTTGCTGCTGTGCCTGTTGGCGTTGATGCTGGTGATGAGGAGGATGTTGATGATGATGATGATGATGATGAAGATGATGAGGATGTGGATGTTGATGACACAAGTCGCTTGTATGCTGTCATTGTCCGTGCTGCTTGCTGTTGTCGTTGTTGTTGCTGTTGCAGCCGCAATCAATTGTCGCTTTTTGGGGCCTGTGTGTTGTTGTTGTAGCTAGTTTGCAGCTTGGCATGAGAATTGTTCTAGTTGCTGTTGTTCTTGTTGTTTGTGCGTGCATTTTGTGTGGTTAGAAGAAGCAATTGCAATTGCATTTTGGCATTGCAAGTGTATTTGTATTCGTATTAAATAGCATTTGTTTATCATGTACATTATTGCATTGCTGTTTGTTGTTGCTATTGTTGTTGTTGCTGTTGCTAAAGCTAATGGCTAAATGCTTACCACGTCTGGGACGCCTGCCCTTGCCCTTGGCCGGCGGTATGCAGGTCTCGCTCTGCAGCGCATGCAGCTGTGCACCAAAGAAATCCTCCAGGCCCGCCCACGTATTCTTCTCAATGAAGCCCTTGACAACGCCCCAAATGGACTTTTTATATTTGATTTGCGCATGCACCGACAACATCGTATGATCATCCACAGTGCTAACAATATATAAAGAGTACATAACTTTCGATATGTTTAAGCAATTGAAATACCCTTTTGCCACTTACCGCGCCAAACAGAAGTGTATGAGCACACTGAAACTGTCCGCATAGGGTATGCCCGCGTTGACGCTGTTCACGTCTATCGAATAGAGTTCACCCGGCTTGCTGCACTCGCGCATCGTTTGATATTCGGTGACCTGCACGAAACAGTAATTAATATAAAATAATACATTTTGAACTTCTGTTCGCCTACCTTTGAGGTTTTTGGGCCCACCGAGGCGGCCAGTTGCACGGTCACGTTTACCAGCCGCACATTCTGGCCCTCATCATTTTTATGCCACTCGCCCATGGACAGATCGGTCGATTTGCGCAGCTCGTGGAAGTCCGTTAGGAATTTCGACTTTGAGAACAGAAAATTGAACAGAGTATCCACGCGTATGGGCAGAATTGTGTGCACTATTTGGCGACCCTCGTGCGTCGATGTGCACTCCGTACTAGGCACAAAGCTGCAACAAAGCAAATGCATTTAATTAGTTTCAGTTACTGAAGAGGGTTTAAAATCGTAATTTAGGTTTAAAATCCCATTTCACACTTACGGCACATTGTTCTCCTCGGAATCGGAAGAGTCCGAGACATCTGTGGGCCCAGCCTCGGCATTTTTGGCCGCCAAATCATCGCGTTGTCGCTGATTTTTGCCCACTTTGCGCTTGACATCGGAGCCATGACTCTGGGGTTCGGCTGCAGTTGCGGTTGCCGCATTGCTGCTGATCTTTTCGGCTCTTCTGTCGCCGCCAGCACCACCGACAATCCCACCACTGGCTATGGTGGTTGTTGCCGTTGTGGTGGCCATCGCTGAGCTGCTGTTGCCGCTGCTGTTGTTGTTGCTGCTGCTGCTGGTGGTGGCGGTGGCTGTGGTGCTGCTGCTGGTGGTGTTGGTATTGGTGGTGTTGGTGTTGGTGTTGGTGGTGGGGCCGCTGTTGGTGCTGGGCACGCTGAGTGTGACGGCCACCGATTGCTCCGTTGCCTTGACGGAGCTGAGTGTCAGCTCTTTGGCATTGGCCTTCATTTTCTTATTTGACTTACGCGTATTGTCGCTAGCTTTATTATCCGAGCCACTGGCCGATGCGTTGGCCGATGAGTTTAAATTTGACGATTTGCTTGAGTTGAAGAAATATTTCGTCTTCGATTTGCGTACTGCTGCTGCGCTGCCGCCGCCGCTGCTGGCGCTGCTGTTGCCGCTCTGTTGCTGCGGCTGCTGCTGCTGGCCCGAATTGTTGGTGCACTGACTGGAATTGCTCTGATCGCCACCGAGATCGTCAAGGGCCGTTTGAAAGTCACCATCGGTTTCTGTATCGGCCGCGTCCAGCGTGGGATCTATATAATCCTCATCGTCTGTGGTCAGGCCCAATTCATCGCCGTAGCAATTGTGCACGTAACGCCAGATCTCCTGCTGTGAGAACTGTTTGTTCAACAATGTGTTCTGCCAGACACGAAAGAGCATCAAATACGACTTGTCACGCGACGCGAATGTCGCAAAAAAGTACTTCTCCCTGGCGGTGGATATTGTTATTGCATTCGGTATCACGAGCGCAGTTTTCTCCTTCGTAATTGCTGTCACATCCTTCCATTTGATGCTCACATACGTTTCCCAGCTAAATATGTTCGCATGGAAACACACGTAGTTCTGTGACACGTACAAACGACCCTGCACCAATATATCCCGTTGCAGCGCGCACGAGTAGTCTGCAAGCAAAAAACAAGTTGTGAATTATAACGTGCATAAGTAACTATATTATAGCCGAAACTTTACATTTTACATTTGTTTTGCCAATTTCTAACTTGAAAGCCCTTGACAACGCCCTTTTTGAGGACATGGCTGTCTAGTTAAAGGGAACTTCCAATTTGTTAACATAAGTAATCTTTAAACCACACTAAACTTAATTTATTTGAAAAAGGAGTTCATTATATATGCCTGAATAGAAATAGTCATCTTTTATGTCATTGCAATCAGTACGACACTTGTGTCGTACATGAATTCAAGAATCAAAATATTCCTCCAAATAGCCGCGTAAAAGAAGTGTAAACACTTGACATTTATATTGTTTGATAATATTTCCGTACACATCTCTTATCTTGCCCTAAGCTAGCTACAATATAGAGCAGGTCTTTAAAGAACTTTCAGAAACTATTCTAAATGCTAAAGACAAACCCACTTTAAAATATCAGATTTGCTGAATATTTCAGAGTATGTTTAGACTTAAACTTAGTTTAAATTGTTAAATTTACATAAGATTTTAAAAAGAATTATATACAAGACTAGCGGATATACCTTGCCCGTGGTACATATAAAATTCATTCTCTGAAAGATCTTTGAAAATTAGTTTGAAACCGATCGGACGGTATGCCAAATGACCACTGTTGCGGGCGAAATTTCGCTGAAAGAAGCATTCATTAAGTTCTTATGTAGAGCGGACAATAACTAAATAAAAGAAAAATGTTGCCAGAATTAGATGCCAAATTGATCTAGGCCAAACCTCGTGAAAATTGGATGAGATTTGGCCGAGTTATGAGACTGGATAATTTTGAACTATGTCTATACAGGAGATTTAAGGGTAGACGAATTTTGACCAATTATAAAGTTTAGATGCCAAATTGATCTAGAGACCAAACAATGAACAACAAACCAAACCTCGTAAAAATCGAATGAGATTTGACTGAATTATACATCATTTATCATCCATTATACATCATATATCACACATGATACCTTATACATGATACATTATACGCCATACATCATACAACATACATCATACACCATATTTCGTACATCATTATCATATATCATACATCATACATCCTACTTCATACATCATATATCATACAACATACAACATACACCATACATCGTACATCATACATTATACTTCACACATCTTACATCATACATCATACATCATATCTCACACTCAAATACATATACACTCACCCACAATTAGACGCTCATCGTTGGGCACATCTTTAAACAGTTTCTTGAAGTCCTCGGCGCGTGATTTATAATTCGGATAGATGACGTTGTACCAGGACTTCTTCTTGGCGCGCTCGGAGAGTCGGGAAGTGCCCTTGCTGGGCTTCTCATTAGATGTGGTGCTGTTGGTATCTCCGCGTAATAGAACGCTGTCGGTGCTCGCGGATTCGCTTAGTTTGCCCTGTGCATCCTGTAAGTAATTGTTTGAGTGGCATTAGTCATGGATATGTGTGTGCGTGGTGTGCGTGAGGGCTGAATCATACTGTGTGTTCGGGGCCAGTTGGGCAGGTGTTGCGTTTTCGCTTATCGGAGCACAGAAAGGGTACACCAAGCTTTACGCTGGTTTCTCATTAATAATATTTAGTTATTTGGTAAGAACCGAACGTTGTATAATCTAACGCGATCGATCCGCACAATATTCGAGCGCTGTGTCGTCGTCGTCTCGCGCAGCACATTGAATTCTAATTTGCAGAGAACCCAAACGCTACACAGTCACAATATCAGCCTTATCAATGTGGTAAAGCTTCGACCAATCAATTTTTAGGGTGCCATGAGCTTTTTTGTTATATTTTGTTCTTTATTGTTGTATACCCTGTAAAACTTGTAAGGGCGGCAACCACGACGCGATCAACTAAAGCAATAGCTATCCTACTTGATCGAGACTACTTTGGCATTCAAGTGCGAAAATAAATTATAAATTATAAATACTTAGAAAATAAAATAAATAATAAAATCAATAAAAAAAACCAATATTACAAAATTTTAATAAACAATAAATAAAAGTAAAATGTAAAAAAATCAAATAATAAATAAATAAAAAAATTAATTTATTACAAAAAAAATAAGAAATAAAATCAAGAATAAATAAAATTAAATAAGCATAAATAAAATAAAAATAATAATAAATGTAAATAAAAAAAATAATAAATAAAAACAGAATGAATAATAAAAAATAAATTATTAATAAATAAATGCTTCCATTTGCCTCTTTCCTTCCTTTACCATAATCAAAATACCCTATATTTTGCCTTAACTATTTCATTTTATAGCCCGAAAAATTGCTTCCATCTGACTGTTGCCAAGTCAAATAGACCAAATCAATATACCCAATTCTTTTTACACACAAAAAATAGTTTTTATTTGTAATTCGGGTTTTGTAGCCCCTAAAATATGTTCATAAACATAATTTACAGGGTATCAGCTAGCTAAGCACTCCCGTCAAGCTCATGCTTGTGCTTATTTTAAAGGGTATTTCTAATCAGCGAGCAGTCACACAGTGTTTCTCCAGCCCGGGGAATTGAACTAGTTGAAAAGTGGAGCATTTACTGCACACACGCATAAATCGATAAGGCTAATAACCCAACGGGTTTTGAAATAATCCATTTGATATCTGGCGTCCGAGTTCATTATCTAGCGCTCAGTACCATTATCGGCACTTGCCTAGCATCTGTTTTGATATTCAGTTCTACTGTATTTGTATTTTGGGTTTCTGCGAATTGTGACGTGCTAATGAGTAGAACTCATTAATAATGAAAGCTCACGAGCTTTCTCGTAAAGACAGTGAGAACCGAAAAAAAAACTATCAAAATTTTAGAGAGCGAGCAATTGAAAGAGAGCGCAGCGAGATTTAAGAGCGTTTTTGAAGGCAACACACGTAAATAAAAACAAATTTCGGTGCTTGACAATAATTAATAGAGAAACCAATAAAAAAATGTATATGGAATCAAGATCCAGCTTTAAAGTTTACGAAAGTATGACGACATTTAGGGCTAAAAGTTGGTCACAGAGCGCTTGAAAGAGCACAGCTGAGCTTTGGAAAACAAACTAATTCACAGCTTAAAAATATATGAAGAACTGACGTTAATAAAATTGGGAAGCTGAGCTGAAAACTAAAGCATGGGAATATTAAAAGCATAAATGCCAAAAGAACCAGTTCTTAACTATCAAAAGCTTGAGTTAGGAACTGTCTAAATTGGGAACAACAATTAAGAAGCTCTAGTTTAGAAGCCACGAAATGAACCAGCACTAGTTCTAAAGGCATAATAAATATTTGTTCATCTAATGTGTTTGAGCAATGTATACAGTTGACTTAATAAGGAAGAGAAAGAATAAAGTAGTTTAATGAACTGGTTCAAATGGTTACTCGAAAAATATTTAAAGCACAAAAAGATTAAATTAGTTCGATAGACTGATGCAGGAAAAGAGTGAATAAAGTAGTTCAATGAACTGGTTCGAAAGGTCAATCGAAATATATTTGATGCGGGAAAAGAATAAAGCTCAACGAATTGGTTCGAAGAGCTCTAAAGAGTGTAAACTAGCTTAACAAAGCGGTTCAAAGGTTAATTAAAACTATTTGATGCAATTACTTTGCGCAATTAATAGAAACAACGCATAAACTAACTGAACGAACTGGTTCAAAAGGCCAGTTAAAAAATGCATAGAAATTAATTGATTTAAAACGGAAATAGCTACGTTTTGTATGCGAAAAATATGCGTTCAGACCCTATAGAAAACCTACATTAATATGCTAATTTATAGACTTTTTATAAGCGGGCGCAGCGAGCTGGTTCAAAAGGCCAATTAGAAATTCATCAAAAAAGGTTTGACCCAATGGGAAACTGAATACACTTTGTAAGAAAACAAATACGTTAAGAGAACTTTATAAAATTTTAGTTTTAAACATTTAACAAATCTTATTTATTGAAAGATATTGGATTTGATTCCAAAATGGAACTAGTTCCAGTAATGAAACATATTAGAATGACACGAAGTGAACTAGTTGAACAACTTAGAAGTTTCAATTTTGAACATTTAAGTGATCTCTTTTAACGAACTTTTTGTATTTATCAACAAATACAGTTTTTATTTGATTTAAAAATTGAACTAGTTTAACTAATGAGTCATATAAAAAAGCCAAGAAAAGAACTAGTTGAATAACAAAATGCCACAACTTTAAAAATTTTGTTTTGTATATTTAATTAAACTCATTTAATGAACTTGTTGTAAATCTTTTTGTAAAAATAGAACTAGTTCAACTAATGAAACGTATTAGAATGGCAAGAAAGGAACTAGTTGAATAAAAATAAATGCCACAACTTAAAAAGTTTTAGTTTTGAACATTTAATTACACTCTTAACGAACTATTTGTAACCCATATAGATTTGAAAAATATAGTTTAATAACTGAAAGAAATTGCATTTGATTTAAAAATTGAACTAGTTCAACTTAAAAGTAAAGACAATATAAACAAAATGTAAACATTTTATATTATCTTTGCTATAACCCTATGTTGTGCCACATTTAAATTAATTCTTGAGCACTTTTTGGCCTTAAAGCTGTTGCAAGGAGACTCACCTCATCGCGTCCACTGCTCGATGTGGATAACTTGGCTGGCTTGCCCTTGGAGCTAGTTGAGCTCTTGCGACTGCTGGGACTGTCCGTGCAGGAGCCGCTCGGCTGACCATTCGAATCAACGCTATGCGACTGCGTCGGCTGCGACTGCGACTGTTGCTGCTCCTTGGACTCGGCTGGGGCGATGCTAATGCTGGGCGTGTTGGCCTGTGGGCTGCTGTGTATGCTGCTGCCGGGCGCTACGTTGTGATGGCTGCCGCTGTTGCTGCTGCTGCTGCTGCCGATGCTGGCGCCGCCGCCGCCGACGCTGCTGAGCGCCTCATGACAGATGACGGATGCTGCGCAAACGGAAACGGAAGTTGTCTGTGCCGTAGTCAGGGTTGTGGCTAGCGAAATGCTGCTGCGCTCGATGGTGCCGGCGGCCTCCTGTATGGTCAATAGCTTGCTGTTTAACGCGCTGCTGTTGATTGTGATGTCATCGCTGATCGAATCGCGCCTAAAACAAGAGAGAAAACTGTGAATAGCTTGTTCAAAAGTGCAGCAATATCTATAAAGTGTACATATATATATAGATTATATGGTATGCATTCAAATTTAAAGTGCTTGCGCTAAAGACATGCAAATTTTGTACATTAGCCAAATAAATGCGGGTTATACTTAACGCTCTCTTTTCTCTCTCTCTCTTATTTTTTTTTTGATTTTTGTTTTAGACCAGGCCAGAGTTGTGCTTTTCGACCTACCTGTCGCCATTATTGATACTTTGTGTACATTTATCATCCTGCTCAGCTTCCAGCTGCTGCTGCTGCTGCTGTTCCAGTGATTGCTGCTGCTGCAGTTCAGGTTGCTGCTGTTGCTGCTGCAGTTGTTGTTGTTGTTGTTGTTGTTGCTGTTGCTGTTCTTCTTTTGCATCACAAATCATGTTTGTGGCATGGGTAGGCTCAATGCTGCTCGCAGCAGTAGCAATTGCTTCTACTGCTGCAGCAGCTGCAGCTGTTGTTGTTGTTGCTGTTGTTGCTGCTGCTGTTGTGTTTATTTCAATATCTTTAATCCTACAATAAAATTGCATATGGAAATAAAAACAAAGGAATAGCAAAGAGGAAAAACCAATACAAAAATAAAAATAAAAACATGCGCTCTTTGTTCACACTCTACCCCTCTCTCTCTCGCTCTCTCTCTCTCTCTTCTCTCTCTTGCTATACATTTTAAGAAACCAATCGATCACCTACTCTTTTTATAGAAAATCTAACACTGAAAATATGCAAAACAATTCCAAGGAACAACTCATACAAACTGGACTAAATTAATATACGTTAACTTGCAGCAGTCAAGAGCATGCTCAACGTCTTTATACCCTTGCAGAGGATATTATGAATTTGTCATATATATGGAACGCATCGAGAGATATCTCCGTCCCCATAAAGTATATATATTCTATGTATAACCATGTCCGTCTGTCCATCTGCGAACTAGTCTCTCAGTTTTCGCCTTGAAACTTTGCTTAGCTCAGTCTTTCTGTTGCAGCGAATACATATGTCGGATCTGGGCGGATCGGATCACTATATCAAACATCTGTCATCTGTCGAAAGTAGGTTCTTGCCCTACATAAATGCAAAATCTTTTCAACTTCGGACTACCATATCATATAGCTGTCATAGGAACGATCTTTCGAGAAGTAGTTTCTTCTAGGTAAAAGTCTTTTTTCCAAGATATTTACAAACTTCACTATTCTCACATAGCGAATTCTCACGCAAAAGCGAATGTCCAACAAGGGTATTAAATCTTCGACGTGCCAAAGATTTTCTTAGTTTCACTTGTTTTCTTTTTAACTTTTTGTCAAAAACTTTTTTTTGTCAAATATTCCTGTTCCTTCATAATTTGTATACAAAGAATTTAACATAGTTTTTTATTTCAAAAAGTTGTATTTGTTTATTCGAGGGAATCGCACATTTATGCGCCTTTTCATTATTTTGTTCGACATTCAGTTTAAGTGAACATTTCTATTAAGCATTTTATTAGAGAGCTTATTTGTTATTATTATTATTTCATATAGCCCTTACCAAACAACATAGGGCTCTGATATTTTCCCCATCTAAACTGTCTAATCCAACTGTTAACGGCTTGAAATGTGAACTGGGAATGAAGTCTTAATAATAATTGCCAATCGATAACATTGTTGATAATCAATTAACAATATATGCATGTATATACAACAATACGCGCCCACACACAGTTTTATGATAGTATATTTTAGCTTTATTATTCGCCCAGTTACCAAAGCAACAACTAAGTAAGTAAACTCGTCTGCCAGATAAGCGCGATAAGATATCTTCCCTTTTACAGCCACACGTTTGGTTATTTTCTGTTTGGCCTTTAGTACACAAATCGACGAATCCTACTGAATACCAAATCCAAATACTTTCCAGATTTTTATGCCCTCAAAACCCATTGAAATTGGATGGAAAGGCTTATGTGGAAGTGTATGTAACAGGCGGAAGAAAGCATCTCTATGTTCTTGATCGGCATCCATAGCCGAGTCGATATATTAGAGAAATTTTGAACGTGTTTCCGATAATCGATAACTTGCGCCGTTTTCAAGCAATCGTTATCGAAATCCTGAGCCAATCTTGTAGGTTTTAATAGTTCGAGTAGCTTCTGGAACCGTATATTCAAATCAAGGCTCTTTCATTTTGAATATCTTCCACCTGCCTACCAGCACGAGCTGCATTTTGTTGTCAGTTGAAGAATGTTCAAGGTATTCCCTAGTCGGGAATTCTCGCCCTGAGCATTCATGCTTGTTGTGTATATTTTCTGGTTTTTACTCTAATGGCAGCCTCGTTGGCTGCTTACAAACCACAAAAAGCTTCAAATACTTTCCAAACAGGTGTTTTCCGAATGAGGAAACTCATGAAAATTAATTGCACTTAACTTCAACTTCAAGTCCCAAAATAGCAGAAAATATGTGGAGATGCATTACAATCGCAGTCACAAGCTTAAGCTACCCGTTAGAAGGGCATAAAGAGTACCTCATTAACTTTGCCTCAATGTAAACAGGCATAAAATGTTTGGCTAAATTTAACTTTAAGCAACTGACGGACTCAGTAGCATATCAGCTAAAACTGTTTGGGAATTTTAAGAGAAGAACATATTGTGCAAATGGTTGAACGAGTACAAATTGTTTTTAATTAAACAATTGTGTTAACTAATGTGCGCCATTAAATGAAACTCATTGTTTTATCTTCAGCCAGAAGCGACTTCGGGCAAATAAAATGTATTTGTCGCACAATATCGGGGCATAGAACAGCTGTGTCAACTCAACAGAAATAATAATAATCATAAAACAGCAAACGGAATTTCTGTTTTGCCAATTTGTTTAATAAAATTTGTCGCTAACGACTATCCATTAAAATTACACATTATGGAAGATTGACTAAATTTCTATTAGCAAATAATTTAAATGATTTTTATTGTTTTTTTTTTGTTTTTTTTCACAATTGTACGAGCTACTCTACAATATGCTTTGATTTCTCTTATGCTTGCTGGGCTTAAATGAAAACCAATTTCCAGTAGTTTTCCCCCGCCTTTTCGCTTATTGTTTTTTGTCTTCTTAATTGACTTTGTTACATGGGGTTGGGGTTGGGGGCATTCAATTAAGATGCCAGCTGGCATTATTTGATGATAGCTGCACAAATGCTTGAGTGCAAATTCATTTGATGACAACTCAACCGAGTCAGATGATGAGTAAAAACAAAACGAGAAACTGCCGAAGTCTTAATAGCCTTATAGACATTTTGGCCATGTGCTCGGCTCTTGATACTGATAGAGAATAGAAATACTCTACGCGCTTAAAGATCTCTACTTCTATGCGTTACAAATTTCATGAAAGAATCATAATACCCTCGGCAAATGCATAAAAAGTACACGAGCCTGACGAATTTCCTCTCTCACTCTCTATTGCTAGCTGAGACTTCGAGTAGAGGGTCGACAGCTGCTGAAATTATAAACAAACTTTTCAAAAGAATAAAAAAAAATTTCTTATCAGCTGCAAACATTGCGTTCACAAGCTATTTAGATAATTTGTTGCGGTAAAATTTTAGCACGGCAAGTCGAAGATTGAATACCCTTAAAGACATTCGATCTAGAGTAATTTTTGAAGTTGTAATGAAACTTACAGCTCCTAAATTTAAAGGAATCCCCGCTAGTTGTAGAGGGAAAATAGCTAAATCAGCAGAAGCAACAGCATAAAAAATTATAGCTGATAATTCTAGCTATAAAGTTCATTTTATTCCAGCTTCATGTTCTACTATACTTCTGACTAATAATAAAGATAAAGCTGGCGAAGGGCCTAGCCTAGAAGCTATATAATTTAGTATCTAAAATATAATAAAATATATTTTATAAGAATATATATAAACTATATAATAAAATAGTCTAAGATGTTGATTCTATAAAAAAGCTTCCCAAATTAAAGCAAGAGTAGCTAGTCGAGAATTTCCGATTTCTTTTACGATCGAACAAAATGCATAAATATAGTTTAAAGTTTAAGAATACTCTATATAGAATAATCTATATACCTATATATACGTTATAGGTTTGCGCTACAAAAAAGAAGGGTAGCAAAACGAAGAAAAAATTCATCTACGTTAAGTAAATACCCTTACAAAACTTATGCGGTTGTATGTTATAGTACTCCGATCTTAACTACTCAACATAGATTTTGACATAACAATTAAATGTTTAAATCTGAATAATTGTGAATGGGAGATATATAAATATTGACATCGGCAATTGAAGCTGATTCAACTTCACTTTATATATGTATATATACACTATGTATATCTGATTTAATGCGTTACACTGAGAAAAATTCCACACAAAAATCAATAATTTGGCTTAAGAACAAAACACATTTAATGAAAATATTTAAGAGTTATATAAAAACACAAAGAGAACTCAAATTCTAGCTGAAACTAACAACAGGAAATGCTGCTGGAATTTATAGAAGAACAAAAAGTACGTAAACAAAATTTGATGACAAAAACAAGTTTCGGAATTTGTAAAAGTATTTTTTTTGTTTAGATAGAAATATGGAAAGGCAATCAAGAACTCACCGCCAGAACTTGTTAGAGCTCAGCTCAGATAACCTTTGTCTGGGCTCCGAGTGGGGGTAACAAGGGGCGGGGGCGGGGGCGGGAGGGGCGTATCTCAAAGGTGAGACAACATGCGCGCAACGACAACTGACAACAATTACAATTAATAAGCATACAGATTATATGGTTAGAGTTAATTGGAAATCGAGATGGAGATAAGTTGGGCTGCGAGCGGGGGGCGAGTTAATCGATTATGACACCCCGCAAGAGCGAAAAATAAAAAAAAAACAATAAATAGACTAAAACATAACGGTAATAAACAACCTGCATGAACAACAAAGAGAAACCAGTTCTAGCAAAAAAAAAAAAATGTATATATAAGAAAAAGAAAAATCGAAAATCAATAGAAATAAAACTAACCAAAAACGTTCGCAGTGCTCAAATCGAAAGAGCACGACTAGCAGATACCCTAAAGCTCGAGTTTGAGAAGAATAAAAAACTCTTTGTTTTCTTCTTCTTCAGCCCCACCCTTTGGCAAATACGATATATATATATATATATATATATATATAAATTATAAAGATTTAACAAATACGATTGATATCGATATTATATAGTCAGACGAGATATATTTGACAGATAAATTTCCAGACTCTAGTTATGCTTCAAATAATTTTTAGTGATATGAAAACATTTCAAATATCACAGATATCGATAATTTTTTCTCAAAATCCAAATTATAATCGCACGAGAGATCGAAAAAATAAAGAAATAGATATCGATATTATATCGAATATAAAATATCGAAAAATTTATAGTCACATTTTTCTTAAAATTGGTTTAATCGATAGATTTAAGTAATCAAGAAATCGTTAAAGGCACATTTCAAATCTCTAGTTTCTCTTAAAATCGATTTTTATCGATATTATGAAGATGCAACGAGCTAATAAAGAAAAGTTCAAGCCGAATTCGAAGTCTCTATTAATAGTGCTTCGCTCGGACGGGCAGACGGATATATCCAGATGGACTCTGCTGTCGCTGTTCAGATCTGTATATATATATATATACTCTAAGTCGTCGCAGATGCTTTCGTTTGCCTGTTACATTCCTTTGCACATAAACAAAATACCCTTTCTAGCCGTTTTCAAGGGGTAACAGAGTGTAGAAAAACGAAACTAAAACTTACATTTTTTTTTTGTCTGTTTTCCCTTTTGTGTCGCGCTGTTTGTTTAGTTGATTCAGAAGCAATTGTTGTTGCCAATATTATTGTATTTATTGTGGGTCATGCACGACGGGTCACTCAAAGTATGTCATCATTGGAAAAACGATGACGAAACACAGCACAAGCACTAGAGTGAAAGGGTGCGGGACGGGATGGGACGGAAGATGGCTTTTCTTTTATTTTTAGCACATTTAGCATTTGGCAAATAGGCGCCATTAATATATTATGTGGAGCAGTCAGGCCCTACTTTCGTTAATTATTTAATTAATTTTATTTTCCGTTTTTTTTTTTTTTGATTATTGTTGTCTGCTCACGCGATGTCGAGAGCTGGACGCGAGCGCGAACGTCATTTCAGCGCGACGTTTGAATTTGCACTCGAAAAACGCGCCGTGAATTGCCCGACTAAGACCGGCAAAATAAAATAACAACAATGACAACTATACATGTATATATATATTATATATAAATATATATCTGCGAGTGCAAGAGTCGGCTATGGAGATTGTGCTTTGTACGCTTCGCTGAACGCTTTTGGCAAAGTTTTATGCAAATTTCGCGCAACGCAACGCAACTTTTGCGCAACTCTGTATACGCTTTCGAGGGTATTACAAATAGGTCATGTTTTAGGTCTAACTTCTAGGCAACATAAAGGGTCTATATTCTAGTTGAGCCGTGTTTCTACTCAAAGTCTAATTCTAGTTTCTATTCAAGGATATCTCTCAGTTTGAGAGCCTTCTTTATGAAACTTAGCTTAGATACATCTGTGGACTTCTTTGGTTCGGATCGTTCTTTAATATATGTGTATATATATATATATATATATATTGTTATTTATCGCAAGTAAAGTTTCTGCTTGAAAAATCTGTGCTATTTTTCAAGAAAATCTTAACTGAACTTGGCATTTACGAGCTCTACCCATGTCATATGGCCATATGGAAAGAATCAGTAGGAAAATATATGTTTCTAATGTTTCTATCTCTCCAGATATCTGCCACAAATGCATTAAGTATACGCTAAACAATGCTGCGCACATATCTGCAAAGCCATAAGCCATAAACTTGGGTCTGCCTAAGATAAACGTTCGCTCTAAGTTAAGATCTGCCTTCTTTTTTGTGATAACAAATAAACTCTTCTTTTAAATACGAGCCCAACGATATCTCATAAGATAGAGAAATAGAACTACAACAATTATGCTTCAGTTTTAATAAATCTAAAGAAATTGTGTTAAATTGCGTTAAGAACTTATGTTTTTTATTATTCATTCTACTTAGCCAATCCTTTTTTTGTTTTTCTTTCGGAAGTTAGTTTCTAGTTCTGGGAACGTATTTCTTTGCAGCAAGAAAACCAGAAGGTCTGTTTTTTAAAGTAAAGCTTATCAATTCAGCGTGAAATGTGGCATAACACAGACATAAATACATGGAATAATTACTAATTGATTAACCACAAGTATAAGCATATTAAAACAATAGTGTCGGAAGTGCCCGACTAGGGTATACCCTGTGCGATGAGTTGCTCTTACAAACATTCTAGCTACCTTCTTCCTGCCCAAACTATCCGCTCCTGACTAAACTCAGGTCTTTTTAGTCAGTTCTCTGTGAAACTTTCAGGGACTGAATATAGTACACAGATGTGTGGATATACCAAAGCGCAAGTCTCTGACTTAAGAGAACTTTTATTGCTCCATATTTTGGAGGAATGAGGCAAGGTATTGCAAAAAATGAAACATTTGCCATCTGTATATACTTTAGAAGAACCAACATGCCGGCTTTTACATATCTAGCTCTTATAATCCTCGAGTTATGCTCAAATAACCATTTCTCAAAATCAATTTTTTCGATATTTAAGGAAGAGGTAGAATATATCGAGCAAAAATGATATATTTGTTCCGCATACAATCACAATTTCAGTTGAAATATTTAAAAATTGTACACAAGAAAACTTGTTTTGATAAGAGAAGACTGTGTAGGACGTAAATAAATGTATTCTAGTAAACAAACGAGTCTAAATGTTGATTTTGCGATGTTCCAGTTGGTTTCTAATTGAAAATATGATTGCAGGCTACGCGATTCCAATTGGAATCGCGCCAACGATTGGAAACTATCTCATCTAATTGGAATTGTAAATTAAATGCACCAAACGATATGTACACACTGAAAGTGGATTATCTCTGCCATTTTACTGATAACGCGACGAACAGCATTTACTATGAGCAAAAGGAATAACAACAAGAAATAAAGACATGCAAATTACGAGCGGGCAAATGTAACTGTTAAACATGCAAATCGGCAAGAAAAACCTACACCAAACGATATGTAAATATATATATATATGTATATATTAACTTTCAAGCTAAAAGTAGTTCAAGTAAAAGTAGAACAAACATGTTTTTATTTTTTTTTTCGGCAAAAGGCGCAACATTTACTGAAGACTTACATGGGCGTGGCGTGCAAATTGAGGCTAGCGGCGCGTTTATGCCTCTGTTGTTGTTGTTGTTGTTGTGAGGATTGCCTGAGCAGACTTTGCGCGGTGGCCAAGCTTTTGGGCAGAGCGCCTTGGCTGGAAGATTTGCAGAGGGACACAAAGCGTGTTGTTGTTGTTGTTGTTGCTGTTGATTTTTGCTGTGCTTGTTGTTGCTGTTGTTGTTGTTGTTGTTGCTGGCGCTGTTGTGTGACAAAATGCATGACAACGGCAAGGCGCAGCAAACAAATGAAACGCCACCTCGCTCTGCGCACAGCTACAGATTGTTGCAATGAGATTCGTTTTGCATATTGAAAAAACGCTGCTTTTAATAAATTTGATGTGGTTGCTTGTGCTGCTGCTGCTTCTGCTGGGGCGCTGCTGCTGCTGCTGCTGACGTCTGCGTAAGTTGTTTCTTTTTGTTTTTATAATTTTTCATAGTTTTTCTTTAATGTCACTGCGTACGCTTGCGACGTTGCGTGCGAATCAATTGTTTTTGTTGAAATGCGATTGTTTATTAACTAGTCTAATATGAGATTCGTTGATAAATTCTTGCTTGCGACTATTGCAAAATTCTTAGGCTGCTTTTTTTTCGCTTCTTTTTTTTTGTGCGCATGAAAAGTATACGTCGTGCACAGGGTTGTCGAGTGGCGCGACTGGCATAAGTTGCATTTAATTAAACAGCTAGTTGCGCAATAAACTAAATACAAAATATAAGAAAACTGCTTTTTATTAAATTTGCTTTGATTGTAATGTTTTGGCATGCTTTTAAGTCATAAATGTTTTAAGAAAAACGTACATAAATAAATGTGCTGTCATGGCAGCCCTACGCTACAGCTGTGAGAGCCAACAATAAAAAATACCCCAAAAAAATACTGTTTGCGCGAAACTTGGTCACACTCGGCCGAACAAACTGCTTTCTAAATTTAAATACAGCAAAGTTTTATTACTTTAATATCACAAAGCAATCTACAAGATTTAATTAATTATTATATTATAACAATATTTGATACACGCGGCGACGTTGCCAGCGAGCGCTGCAAAGAGCAGAAATTCAAAAAGTGTAAGGCATTTCAATAGGCAGCAAATACACTGCACTACAAATTATTATTATTATTATTATGTTTCAAGCCAATAAACCGTTGGAAGTCAGCACAAGGCTGGAATTGCCACTTTTAAGCAGTCCGCGAATCAAGGACAAATCATCCGGCGACAGCGACCAGCCGGTCAATTGGCCGACAGACTGCAGCTCCGGGCAGCTGTCCATAAGAAGCTGCAACACAGATAAGAAGAAGAAGACCAATTGGCGAAAGTATAGTCAGGTGTACGCACCTCCACGGCCTGTACAGTGAGCTCTGGCGCCAGCGTAAACCAAATATCCTCCAGCACCTTGAAATCGTGCTGCACAAACATGCTTCAGGAATGTATATGTTAAAATCTCAATAAGTCTTCCCATGTAACATACCGTACCTAACAATATCCTCATCGTTAAAGTCCACGGAATCCACGGCGAGACGCTTCAGGTCTGTCGTATTGCAGAGGAACGCCTTCAGTGAGCTGGTCAGCATGTCGCAGCTGAGTATCTCGAGGCTCTCCAGCTGCTGGAAACGCGCCTGGGTCTGGGCATACGACAGGCTCTCGATCACATAGCAGTCCAAGTCGATGAGTGTGGGACAGAGGCGCGCCAATTTGCCCAGCTCCAGATTGCCGGTGCCCTTGATCATGGTCAGATGCCGCAAATTGCGTCCAATCGGACGCTCCAACAGCGACAGCAGCTCGGCGACAATAAATTTACAAATCTTGAGTTTGCGCAACGTGCGCGTCTGCAGGGCGCGCAATGCGCCCAGCTTGGGCGAGTCCAGATAGAGTGTCTCCAGCTGCGGACACGTCTGCATCATGACATTCAGCGTGGCCTCATCCGTGGCCGTGTCGTGGGCATATTTCAGGCGGCACTGGAAGCTGTTGTCAATGTGATCGTGTATGAACTTGAGCGCTGCGCCCACAAACGAATAGGTGGACAGCGTCTCCACATGATGGCAATGCTCCAGGATTAGCGCTATGTCCGAATAGCATATGTTCTCCTCGCCGGGCATGCCCACGTCAACAATTGTCAGCGACTGTGCGCAGGCGCCCTTGGCCAGCCAATCGATGCCAATCTCTGTGATGTCCGTTTCGCCCGATATGTCCAGTATTTGCAGGCGTGTGCAATTGGCGGCAATCTCCTCCAGCAGCTGATCGTTGGCTATATAGGGCACATATAGCTTGATGAGCTGCTTGCAACGCCGCACTATCTCGTACATGTAGTGCATGTGATCGTCCTTCACCCAAATGCCCTTCAGATTCAGGACACGCAGCCCGGCGCCCTGGGCGGCAATCACCTGCAGGATCTTCTCATAGTAGCTGGGCGGAAAGACCTCGGTGACCAGAAAATGTACGCTACAATTGAGCAGCATTTGCAGGCAAATGAAACGCATATTGGCCTCCAGATAATCCGAGCTGAGTATGACGCGCAGCAGATCCTGATAGATATTGGATGTGGCGCCCGCCTGCGCCAGATACTCATTCAGCTCGACCATCACGATGCTGATGTCCAGTTGGACATCGGGCGCATATTGTACATAGCTAATTGTGGACACCAGCAAATTGGCCAGCTCGGCCAGGGAGCTGTCGCTCAAGGAGCGTACGCTGCACTTTTTGGACATTTGCTCTTCGAATGGAAAACGATTTGTTTTGTAAACAAACTGCGACGCAGTTGCCAAAACCGATCCGCTGTTGCGCTGCTTCTTCAATCAGTTGTCGCTCGCGTCTCTGGGGCAAAGTCTGTTACATCACTTGGAACAGCAGTCGATGGGGCTTAATAAATGATCCCAATGCTTGTCGAAGTTAGACAGTTAGTTATTTGAGTTTGATTTCTATTTAACTGCGTTTTATTTGACTTGGTTCTTCTGGGCGTTTGGCAAATATTCTCGTTAACCAAAATAGATTTTCTATAATTCTATATATAGAATATATGTTTTCAACGCCAACGCTGTGCACGCTCGGGCGCCGCAATACAAACTGAAAACTATTTTGGCACTGGGACGCCAACAAATTGTTTGCAATGCCCGCAAAATAATCCGACTAGCCTAGGCGCTGCATTAGTATAAGTGCGTGCAGTTGTATTAGTGAGCTTTTGCCTGAACAGCTTTGCTTTGCCCACGCTGAGCTTTGGGCCAACAAAGCTTTTGCGTGTGTGTGAGCTGTACATGAGTTGCAATTTGAAATGAACATCGAATTTTAATGTGCAATACAAGTTATAATACTAATTCGAGAGCTAGAGACTTTTCTCCTTATGTTAGACACGGATTACGGCTGCAAGTAGCTGGGCAGCTTCATGCGCATGAACAGCCAGGTGGTAAAGAAGGAAACCAGTATGAATATGAAGCCCATGGCCGTTAGTAGCAGTCGGTTGAGATTCGTTTTGCCCGGCGCATGGGTCTGGTCCATTATGATGAAGCCCAGGCCGCCAATCGTGAAGAGAAAGCTGCTGGCCAGGCCCTCCATAATGTATTGGGCATTCACGCGATATGGCATAAAGGCCACGGGACGCGAGTGTCCGTGCTCGTCCACGGTCGCACCCACGCTCGGTGGCTCCACGATCACATCGTAGATAATACCTGCAAACGGCATATTTAACTTAATTTAAGCTTTTATTTAATCGCTTGCACCTACCGCCTGTGACCAGAAAGTAGGAGAGCAGCACAACCGAAAACACGGCCATGGGCGAGGGCATGGGTATGGAAATGCGTCGCACCTTGATGTTGGGCGGCACGAGTATGTGAAATGGCAGGTTGTACAGTGTCTCAAGCATTTTGCTGGCTTAAATTGGGCACGAAATTAACTTGATTTCTTATTCACGTATGAAAAGCCGGCGTAGGCGTTTTTTTTTGTTGACGTTGTGTAGTTCGGTTCTGAACAAGTTCGATAGAGGCGAAGCGCCTATCGGAACTAGATGAAGGAGTCGGAACTTGAACTGCATTTAAATGAGCTAAAATATGCAATGTGCATTATTCAATTGAGTTTAATGCTTGCCAGTTATTTGAACATAGTTTTGTTTTACTTAATAACTAACTAACTAACTACATTTAAATTGCCACCTTATAAGAACTCTCACCAATCAATAAGCCAACTAGAATATGCAACACAAGACACACGCCACCCGAATGGCTATTTCCAATTGGAGTCAAAGTGAACCAAATGAGTGAGCTGCTTTGCCAAATGAACTGGAATACGCAACACTTTTGCGATATAATTCGCCAAGATGGTCACATTGAACCAACAGCTGTTAGGCAATCGCGGTCACACTTGCATCTATATATATTTTTCCAAAACAAAAACGTAATTCTTAGTTAAAAAGAAACCACAAATAAACAACGCCCAAAAAGCATGGCCGATGCCAATGCAATGACAGCCGGTGAGCAGAGCAACACATTTGCCGCGATACACCAGCAAAATAATCATAATTTATACGCTTTCAGGCAAATCGCCGGCTATCGAGAAGCGAGTGCACAATGCCGCAGATCTGGCGCAATGGCAGCGCTCCCGTGCCTATCACGATTTAATTGGTTACATCAATGGCACCAGCTCGGCCATACAGGGCATCAAGACAACGGACGAGATGTACGAATCGGATGTGCTGCGCAAGCTGCTGGCCCTATTCGATGCGCTGGCCCAGCTGGTCAAGGAGCATCCGCCGCTGGAGCAGCCGCAACGTTTTGGCAACAAGGCCTACCGGGACTGGTCGCGCACCATGCACGAGCAGCTGCCCGGCCTGCTGGCGCAGCTGCTGCCCGCCGCCAAGCACAAATACCACAACGAATTGCTGCAGTATCTGCTGGAGAGTTTCGGCAATGCGACACGCATCGATTATGGCACCGGGCATGAGCTATCGTTTATATTCTTTCTGTGCGCCCTGTTCAAGGCGGAGATATTGCTGGAGCAGGATATTGTGAGCGCTGCGCTGCGCCTGTTCAAGCGCTATTTGGAGTTCGCACGCCAACTGCAGCGCACCTACAACATGGAGCCGGCGGGCAGCCAGGGCGTTTGGTCGCTGGACGACTTTCAGTTTGTGCCCTTCATTTGGGGCAGCGCCCAGCTGGCGGGTGCGTGCCTCTGATGCTCTACAAGATGCCTCTGTTGATTTCCCCTTTTTGTGTGTTTATTGCAGTCAAGAGTCCCTTCGATCCGGCCAAGTTTGTGGACGAGCAGATCATCAATGATTTCAAGGAGCAGTACATGTTCATCAGCTGCATCGACTACATCTGCCAGGTGAAGACGGGCCACTTTGGCGAGCACTCAAATCAGCTGTGGAGCATTACAGCGGTGCCCTCCTGGATCAAGATCAATGCCGGCCTGGTCAAGATGTACCAAAAGGAGGTGCGTTCCTGGCCCCAAACCCAAAACGTAACCCACCTAAGCTGTCCACTCTCTGTGTACCCAACAGATACTGTCCAAGTTTCCGGTCATACAGCATGTCTATTTTGGCGAACTGATGTCCTTTGATACGGTCGCCGCGGGCACCACGCTCACCAACGCTCGCTTGGGTCATGTGGCGCCGCCGCCCTCCAAGCGCATATGCATTGCAACGCCAGCGTCCGCCAATCTGTTGCCGCCCACACCGATTGTGGCGCCACCGCCGCCGGCCGAGGCATTGAACAGCGACCTGAACGTGGGCGATTCGAGCAGCGAGAGCAGCGACAACAGCGTTGTGCTGCGTCCGCACACAGACTCATCCGCCTCGCTGGTGGGCATACAGGGCTCCGGCTCCGGCTCCGGTTCGGGCGACAAATCCACCAATCAGCCGGCTGGCGAGCTACCCAAGGAGCAGCAGCAGCAGCAGGCGGATTAGCGGCTGCTGGAAATCTGTTGCTTCGTGGAAGTCTGTTGAAATTTTTCGGTAGTTGCGTTTAAACATTCAAATTGTCAATAATATGCTAAATCTTTAAACTGTTGAAAGAAATAATATATATATATATATATGGAAAATTTGTTGCTACAGTTTGAGAGGCGCTGCGTCATGCTAAGTGCCGGACAGTTTGACATGCACTTCGAGCCGGAAATTACGGCAATTGAACAACAATTTCACATCTCTATAAAAATCTCTTTATGCACAATCATTGTAAATTGGCCACTTAAATTGAAATTGCGGCAGCTGCCACAAGGATGCGGCCGCAAATTAAACAGAGGATAAATATAAATAATTTACCATGTGCTGATTGGAAAGTTAAAGCTACAAATTGGACTCTATGTTAAAAGTTAAAGCTGGAAATTGGACTCTATGTTAAAAGTTAAAGCTGGGAATTGGACTCTATGTTAAAAGTTAAAGCTGCAAATTGGACTCTATGTTAAAAGTTAAAGCTGGAAATTGGACTCTATGTTAAAAGTTAAAGCTGGAAATTGGACTCTATGTTAAAAGTTAAAGCTGGAAATTGGACTCTATGTTAAAAGTTAAAGCTGGAAATTGGACTCTATGTTAAAAGTTAAAGCTGCAAATTGGACTCTATGTTAAAAGTTAAAGCTGGAAATTGGACTCTATGTTAAAAGTTAAAGCTGCGAATTGGACTCTATGTTAAAAGTTAAAGCTGGAAATTGGACTCTATGTTAAAAGTTAAAGCTGGAAATTGGACTCTATGTTAAAAGTTAAAGCTGCAAATTGGACTCTATGTTAAAAGTTAAAGCTGCAAATTGGACTCTATGTTAAAAGTTAAAGCTGGAAATTGGACTCTATGTTAAAAGTTAAAGCTGGAAATTGGACTCTATGTTAAAAGTTAAAGCTAGAAATTGGACTCTATGTTAAAAGTTAAAGCTGGAAATTGGACTCAAAGTTCTCAAAGTGCACGAGGAACAATTGAACATTATATTCTTTTTTATTCAATTGGCCTCAAATACATTTCCAGATATCATCTTTGACGTTTTCCACATCTTTCGGAATGCATGAAACCAGAGTTTCGCGTGGATTTCAATTATATAGATAAAAACGTAAAGTCCACAATTTGTTATGGGCCGAAAAGGTATTTCCTTAAATTACAATAATAGATTTTAAACTTTTTTGATTAATTTTCCTATTTCAAGATGAAAATCCAATACAGTGCCTACAAAACTGTAAACGATTTAAGCGCTCTCTCTCTCTCTCTCTCTCTCTTTCTCTCTCTCTCTCTCTCTCTCTCTCTCTCTCTCTCTCTCTCTCTCTCTCTCTCTCTCTCTCTCTCTCTCTCTCTCTGTGTGTGAAATATATATATATACTTTCGCGTTATAAGCAAAGCTTTTGCAAGTGTACAAAAAACATGAAGATGCGTATATACCCAAAGCAATTAGGGTATCATAAAATACACGTGGCAAACTTATAAACAAATATGTAGATTAAGAATTAAGACACAATTATCCGGTATAAAGAACTATACATTATTTTTTTGTTAGGCTGTAAAAAAAAAACAAATGAAGTGTCCCAAAAAAAAAATCAAGTTTAAAAAAAATCACCAACAGGAAAACTTTGTGCCAACAAGTGGACGAGTGTGAAGCATAATCATTTATTTTCGACACATCATTTATCACTGCTGCTGTACAGCAGCCTGGCCACGCCCACATGCCCACACGCCCCCTCACACCTCAGTCCGCATTTTAGTTGGTGCATTAAAAGTTTGCCGAAGCATTTTGATTGAAGACTTTTGGCAAAAAACCAAAACACATTTTGTGCCTGCGCCCCCGCTGATCCAGTTCACGTTGTTCCAGTTCCAGTTCCAGCTGCTGTTCTATGGTGCGGTCGGGTGCGACTGACTGTGCGATACTCTGTTAATCGTGTAATAATTTATATTTTTTTTATTATTGTTTTTGCAAAGTGGAAAACTAAGTTCACAAATCGTGTCTCAAGGCAGGAAGACACCACGTCGAGACCTCTGCTTTAATAGATATTGAAAGAAAACAATATACCCTTAGTTCGCCTTGAGCAGTGTATAAAAATCAGCACGAAAAACTTGGCTTTGGGCTACGTTTTTCGGTTCATTTTGACCTCAGACTAAACTGGGCGATTTTGTGTTTTGCCAAATTGAATGAAGTTGATGCGTTTGGGCAGCCACAGAGGTTAGGTATAAGGCAGAGGAGGAGTAGGAGGGAAGGAGAGCAAGAGAAGAGAGCGGTAGAGTGAGATAGAGACAGGCCATGGGGACGCTCAATAAGTCGAAAGGTCTGCGCACCCATTCAACTCGCCTGCCAGAGATTGAGGCGATAACTCAATGCAGGCTTAACAAGTTTCACTCAAATGAAAAATGGTCGGGAAATGTCAACAGAAAAGTCACGGATGGACTAATTGAATCAAATCGAAATAGAAAAGTTGCAATTTTATGAATTGCAAAGCAAAAACGTTCTGTGAACACATTGAAAACTCTACAATGAAAATACTAATATCCGTTAATGAGGCATTTTGATTTTGTCACGAAATATGTAACGCATACAGGGGAATAATATGTATGCATGCATATTCTTGATCAGTATATGCGTGCGTGTGTGTGTTCGGCAAGAGCATTTATCCAGAGAGTGGACATTGTGAGCGTTTGAGCAAAATTATGCATCCAACTTTGATGCCGTTATATGTTAAGAGTGCAGGCTGCAGCTACTCCATGGAGTAGGAGAGAGGAGAGGCTGAGGTGACTTTTTGGCCCTTTGCGCTCACGCCATTGGTCGCAATGCTTGCGATCCCGCTATGTGAGCTATGTGCGCAGTAATTTTAATGCTTGCCTGCTCTTCGATTTGATTGTATTAGTGTGCATGCTGGCTTAGCGTAGGCGCGTGCCTAATGAGGCAATTAGTCAGTGCGCGTCTGTAATATCGATCGGTTCTCTCCGCTGTGCGTGTATTTTAAATAGTTTTCTATTAAAGTTCAATAACGTAAATGGTTAAACGCGTTTAGTTCGTGCTGTGTGTGTGTTAGTTAACAAACATAATTTAGTTTTCGGCTTGAAGTCGTTGTCAACAATCGGTTAAAATACGTGTCGTTTAATATTTGTTGCAGAAATTTTTTTCTTAATTAAAATGGCGCCAACTCAACTCATATCCAGAGAGCGAAAACGATTGAGAGAGAAGAGAGAGCAGGAGCGTAATATGGAGTCATGCTTAAGAAAGTAAGTGCGATTGTGCATATACATACAAACATACATATTTACATGCATACATATATACATATATTTATTTACCTAAATACAGAATACAGTTAGACAGAATACAGTTAGGCGTTCATCTGCCTTTTTATACCCTTCCAGAGAGTATAATAATTTTGTCAGCAAATGTGTAATGCATAAAAGCTGTAATTGGGTAAAAATTGAGTTTTTGTTTTATTGTGAAGGGAAATTATTGCGACTGAAATAACTGTTTTTTTTTTTAAATTGTGGAAATTTTCTCATCCTGCCTGGTTGATATTAAAATTGAATTGATAATATTAATAATAATAATTAAACAAATTTTAATTTAATCTATGTTAAAAATGCCTAAAAATTAAAAAATATGTTTGCTATTTTTTTTATATATGAAAAAAAGTGGCTTGTCACCAACTGACCCTCGTAGTTAACACTCCCAGCAGCTAACTTGCCTTTGTCTAACATCAAACTATGATTTGCGACGACTCCAGCTGTTGAATGAAATTGGAGTTGGGCAACGCACATCATGTAGTCGCTATATTCGCTTGTTTGTGCCCTACACAGGGCACAGGTTACCCCCTTCCCCACCGCCCCCCTCTCCCACTGGTTGTTTGTTGGGCATATGGGACCGCAGAGAGAATATGCTTGCTTCTGGTCCTGGTCCTGGTCACTGCTGGTTTGACAATGACAATGCGTTTGATGCTGTTGTTGAAGGGTTGCCCCCCCGCCTGCCCCTCTCTCTGACTCTCTCTCTCTCTCTCGCGCGCTCTTTGTCTATGGCGCTTGACTGGGGCAGGGTTGTCGTCGTTGTTTGGCCAGCCCCTTTGCCCATTTTGCAATTCATTATTTGCGCTTGTTGCTGTTGTTCCTTTTTTTTTTTTTTTGGCTGCCTACACCTCACCCCACCCCTCGTGTTGTTGTCTGGCGTCGTCAGCTGGTGCAACATTATGGAGTCGCTGCCGATAAAAACAACGACACGCATATTTTAGGGCCAAGTTAATAGCGAGCCGGGCGTGCGATGGTTTGCTCAATGTCACAAAGTTGCCAAGTTTCGATTTAAATTTTTGTTCGAATTTTTGTTATTTTGTTGTGAGCTTATTTTTTGAACCGGTTTAACGAACTGTCTAAAGTGCAAAAACAAAAGTCGAAGCGCACACAAACTTTTTCGTGGGCACACAAACCCACCCCCTGACTACCCTCCCCCTACCCCCTGACTAGCTTAGAAGGCATTATTTTGCCAACTCGTCGCCCATAGACAATAACTAATTTTCGCTTGGCACACGAAACTTTGTGCAAGTTTGTATAAGAACTTGCCAGGAAGGTATTACAACAGTCTACAGTTTGAAAGCCACTGGGCGTTTGCCTAGTCTTCAATGAGGTAAATCGAAAAGTTAGTTGCCTTTACATGTGTGTGGGTGTGCAACTAATTAGCTGATGCACTCGAGAAGTGCAGAGCGAAGCCTGTTCAAAATGAAGCTAATAACCGCACAGGAGACGTTGTTAGAGCTTTTGGTCTGGTTATTGGAAATGCCGCATCATTAGAGAAACACCTAAAGTTACTTTGATGCGTCAAAGGAAACTGAAACTTCTTAATCATTAAACTAAATAATGAAACTTTAGCTGCTTTCAAATATGTTTCAATTAAAACTTTTAACATGCTGTTATCGTCACGCTTTTAACGTCACATTAACAGTTATGTCATCAACAATTTGCTTGCGACATAAAAACCATTTTTGACTGATTGTTATTTCTTTTTAATATTTATATGTACACAAAACTATAAAACAATTCTTTCTCTTAATCATCCTACATATCCATCTCATCATAGAACTCGCAGTATTCA